ACAACCACCTCTCACATGCATAACACGGTTGCACGCACTCACTACCTCATCTAGACCCCGCCTTCTCCTCTAAAAGAGCACAGTGACTCAGAGGGCCTGAAGGAACTGCACGATCCGATCATCCTGCACCATGTCCTGGCTCATGGTGTGTGCAGCGTGATCTGGCCTCACTTGCACTGCAGGCCCATTGCTTCGCTTCTCCCCCTCCCCTTCCCATCGAAACGACTGCCCAACAATGCAGTAAAGTGCCAGAGACGGGAACTGCTTGGGCAGAGAGACCAGGGTGCAGGGCTGGCACTGTCGCGTGGGGAAGAAAATCGCCTGCAGCTCTGGAGCTTCGATGAAGGGGGGGCGTATGCCCTCGTGCTCACTGCTGCTGCGGGTGCCTGTCTGCCCTCCGCCACCAAAGCCCCTCCTCCAGAGAGACGAACGCTCAACCTCCTCCACTGTAGCCATGTCAGCGTCACCATTCTGACCACCACCGATTCTCCTGCCGCTCATGCCAATCCCAAGAGAGCGCAGGCGGCTCCACTCTGCATCCACGTCGACCAGAGGCCAGCCATGCCTCACTATAAGCGTCTCCACTGTTGGCGCTATGCTGCGCTCAGCACAAAAGCGGATGCTTCTCAGACATCCTTACCTTGGAGTGTGGTCCATAGAAAAACACTATTTTTGCGGAAGCCAGTGGGAGTGAACAAACGTCAAGGTGTCTGCGGCCGATCAGAGTGAGGGAGTCGAGACGAGGAGGGCTGGTGCTCGTGCAGTTGACCTCCAGTCTCCTTGCTGTGACATAGAGTGCCTTCAAAGTGGGAGGGAGGGAGAAGTGAACGGCAAGCCATTGACGCTCACAACTGACTGTGATGACTCGAGCAACAGAGAACTCAAGACTAAGGCTACAGCTACGGTCGGAGAAGGAGGAGAGCGAGAACTCATGCAGCTGCGGTGCGATGGAAGATAGGAAGTTATACTCGTCGCCACTGCTTTCCACAAGCTCGATGGTCAGACTCCTTAGTGCCTTGAATGATGCCGCATTCACACTGTGTAGGAACCAATATCCATGGCCTAGCTTCAGCCGCTGCAGCTGCCCAAACCCCTCGAGAAAAGTAGGTCTTATGTGCATATATGGGATGGATTTTAATCGGGCGGAGCCTTCTTCCCAAGACACAGGCTTGTGAGGGAATGCAAAGGATTCTTCCCCCCAAGGGACAGGCTTGTGAGGGAATGCACAGAGGATGCCAACAGCCGGTCGAAGCGGTGCAGGACCGCGGAGCTGCTGAAAGTGAGGTCAAGGGAATGGTGACCTCCCAATTTGAGGAACCGGAGGAGCGATCGGTTCCACCACGCTCTTTCGTTGTTGAATCTAAGGGAGATGGGCTCCAGCTCCTGCAGATAGGCATTCACAGAGGTTACGGTTTAGCAGGCACAGCAAAGCTTTCCATCAACGTGGCATGGCATGAATGGAAATCTTTGCACCTGCGGAGGCTGTACGATGGATTGCAGAATCGGCACACGACTCACGGAAAAGGAGATGACGTGGTGGAGGAGCCTCTTGCTGGCCATGGCAAAGCGCAGCACATGCCAGGAGGAGCCGAAGCGCCTCGAATCCTTGTCATGCTGCTCCCTGGCAGAAAGTGGGTTCTCCTCGTTGTCTTCTTCAATCTCGTGTGTGTCAGGCGAATCAGACTGATGCTGCTGCAGAGCGACAAGGTCACACAAACTGATCAGTTCTCCCCGCAATGATTCTTCCTCCAGAGAAATAGAATTCTCCAGTTTTTGCTGCTGTTTAGCAGGTTCGGCCGGTGGCTGCAGCAGATACCGGAAGATGATGTGCCAGACGTGGCTCGGCAGCAAATCAACCACATCCACGCTCTGGAGTGTTGGTGAGATAAGCAGTGGAGATGAGAGCGGAAGAGAGAGGGAGGGAGAGAATATGAGAGGACCAGGGGAGGATGCGCATCCTGTGAGGGCTGTGAGGGCTGTGAGGGCTGAGAGGGCTGTGAGGGCTGTGAGGGCTGTGAGGGCTGTGAGGGTTGTGAGGGCTGTGAGGGCTGAGAGGGCTATGAGGGCTGTTAGGGCTGTGAGGGCTGTGAGGGCTGTGAGGGCTGTGAGAGCTGTGAGGGCTGTGAGGGCTGTGAGGGCTGTGAGGGCTGTGTGAGTAGCTTGGGAGCAGCTATGCCCTCTTCCAGCACTGCATCCAGATGGCTATAGCCTATCGGCGCGGTAGCAATCTTGCCGTCCAAAGTTACAAATGAAGTTGTCATGAATGAATACATGGTCTCCTGCGAGCGAAACGAAGACCCCTTGCAGGTGCTTAATGAATCGAGTCCGCCTGTCGTTGCTTTAGCTGACGGTGAATTAAGTTCGCGCGACCTCAAAACTCACACCATCCTGAGAACCCTACTTCTCTCGCCTGTCAGAATGGACCACGGCGAGGCGAGGGTAGTAGGGTTCTCAATCGTCGACATGGCGACCGCCGAGGCAGTAACCAGCAGCGCAACGGGCTGACTGAGATCGTAGCAGCGCGACACGGCGAGGCAGGAGGATGCTGAGCGGCGAGGGAAGGAATGGACAAGACGCGAGGACTGGGGTTCCGCGGGGTGCTCCGTGGGATGCCTCTAAATAGTGACCGGCGAAAAGCATGCTGCTGCTTTGGCTCTGACAGCTGGCACTGGATTCCCAGGCTTCGGATGGCTGACAAGTGGCAGCTGCAACGGTCTCATTATCCAGACGATTTTTTAGTGGTTTAGAGGCTTCTCGGAAATCGTTTCTTAGTGGCATCGAAAATGCAACCCGTGATTCCGCTGCTAGCAGCTATTACGCGTCGACCTGATCGCCTTCCACCTTGCATACCGTAGCCATCAGCATTACCAGGGTATACATGCACGGTTCTTCGGCTTGCACGACAGCCATGAGCCCCAATCATCACGTCGGTGAACCCTGGAGTCGTAGAGTTGCTAACTTCCTACAGGTACTTCTGTAAGGGAAGACGCGTATACCCGTTTGAAGGTGCCTCAATTCACATGAAACTAACTCGGTTGCTGAAATCGTGAAACGCTCCACGTTGTCAATTGAATGGATAGCTTCGAAGTTTAGCGAAACACGTAACAAAGTACTGTGCTGTTTCGCGTATCACCACATCATCAGCGGGATTTGACGAGAGTGCGTTATACTCGTTTGCATTCGACTTTGAAGGGTTCACTCTGGTCTAGAGCGTTGAAATCCGAGAACCGCCCCCAAACGTAGCTGAACGTACCAAACCGCGTCAAAGGAACTCAGCTCAAACTGAAGAATGCATATTTGTAGTGAGTTCACAGGTCCTGCGGAGCGACGAAAATAGATCGACGAATGTAGTTATTCTACGTAGGAAGAAAAAGCGCGAAGGGTATCAACAAATGACACGCCGAATTTGAGGAGGTGGACGGGAGGATCTAATTGAAAAGAATTGCCAGCGAGAGTTATCGTAGCAGGAATGTACGTCTAGGTGCTTCTAAATGATGTCGCGAAAATATACGTTCAGTGCGAACCTAGCTCAGTCAGTGATTCTTAAACTATTTTGTGTCCCTTTTGCCGACCCCCTTCTAGCACATATCAAATTCACACCAACACCAAATCTTGCATCGTCCTCTCTCTTCTTTCTCCTCTGTCGTTCATATTGAACAGATCTTCAAAACATTAGATCGTTGAAAAGAGGATATCGCATATCCACTGCGTCACCCTCATGGTTTGCATCATCGAGCCTTTTTGGCCTTGGTGGGACTTTTTGGGTGCTCCGATCCGAGAATTGCTTGAATGGAAATGCCAGAGTGGAGCGCTTGTATATATCGGTAAAAAAGTCTCAATACTAAGGCCGTTCGCGTGGGCTCTCTCACCCTCGCGTGGAGATGCATCATCTCTCCCATCCCACCCATCTCACCCATCTCTCCCATCTCACCCATCTCACCCATCCCACCCATCCCACCCATCTCACCCATCTCACCCATCTCTCCTATCACATACACGCTGCCGGCTATTCACTTTTTCCCTCCACTCCCTGAATAGTATCCCTGCCCACCCATGTCCCCCATCTCACACATCTCTCCTTCCAGCCGCCACCTTCTGTACAGACGTGCTACTGGCGTCTCACATTCCCCCTTCTCTTCCCCCATCAATCCCTTTCCAACACATCACCCACCCATTTTCCACCTCACTGTAACAAGACGAAGGCGATCTTGCCATCCTCGATTTCGCCAACTCAGCTCCTTGTGATCCGAACCAGAATTCGGAACACACCCTAAGTACATTTCGGGAATTCAATGTTGGAACTCCAACATTGAAATGTGCGACCCGACTTTCTGAGTTTCCAACCGTGGGAACAAAGTACAGAGAGCACACTAGTGCTGGACACAACGGGGCAGAGAACTACCTACAGCGCAGCAGATTACTTGACAGCACAAGACCCTACAGCTACGACTACTTCCAGCAGTGCCCGTACTCATCATGATCAACGACGACCTGGAAGACAACAAGACAGAGAAGTCTCTGCCCATTACATTAGTGTTTTCCTAGACTTTGCTGATTGGTTCTAGGACTAGACAACAAGGCTCGGATGCTATGTACCTAATAATAAATGCTTTGCCTTGCTGTTCCTAGCTCTAGGAAGGTGAATGGCGACCTGAGCGACCTGCTCGAGGCGCCATAGCCAGTATCCTAGTATAATAGGATGTACCTCTGAAATGTAAGCCATCATATGATCTCTTGTAAAGCTATCTTGCGACTATCTTTCTGGAATCCTCCTACCTACTACTACTACTACTCTGCCAAAACAGCTTAGTGGCTGTTTCACTCACCCATCTCACCCATCTCTCCTTCCAGCCGCCACCCCTCGTGATCCCATGGAGCTGCTACCGGCGTCTCTATGGCACCGGGTGTTCCGCTGCCTGCTGCTGCCGCCCGGCTCCTCCCGCCCCGAGAACCCTCTCGCACGGGGCAGACAAAAGGCCCCCTAGTGCCTCACCGCTACAATGCAGCCTCCAGCGGGCAGAAACCTGCCCGTGAAATTCGTGGACCCTGGCTTCACAGCAGCCGGGCAGCACCAGAAGAATGCGAGGAGCTATGGCAGCGGTTGGGCGCTGCTGTGCTGCGGCATGGTCAGCAAGAGCCTCCTCAACCTCGTCCTTTCCTTCTCCGTGAATGCCTTGCTGCTCTGCTTTGCGTATGGAAATGTGGTGTGCTTCAGTAGCCCCTGCTGAGAGTGCTCTGCTCTTCTCGTGGCCGCCGCACTCAGGCATTGAAGCAATCGCCACATTTCCCCGCCAACCAGCCTGCATATTCCCCCCTCCATTCCCACCATCCCTCTCCGCAGGCCCACCACCCCATCGCTCTGGTCTACAACGACCTGCATCCTCAGTGGGTGAAGAGCGTCGCTTTCTTTGAGTCGCGCTTTAGATCAGGATCCGAACAACCTTCCAGCGTCTCCATTCCCTCTCCCATCCCTCTCCGCTCCGCAGGCCCACCACCCCATCGCTCTGGTCTACAACAACCTGCACCCGCAGTGGGAGAAGAGCGTCAACTTCTTCCTGCACTGGGGCGGCCTCAGGTCCCTCGCCCTCACCTACACGCACATCATGCAACTCGACACCCTCAACTCCTACGAGGACAAGTGGCACTTCTCCTCCCTCACCTCCCTCAGTCTCAAGCTGCGCGGCAGCGTGGACACCTCCCAGCTGTTTGACGACGTGCCGAAGGACGATCGGCGTGAGGTGGAGCAAGAATGCTGGACCCATTACCTCCACTGCCCACGTCTGCAGCGGCTGAAGCTGGGGCGCGGCATGTGGGTTCTCCGGGCCGGCTGGGCGGATGGGTTCAAGGCGCTGCGCTGTTTGACTCTCAAGCACGTGGACTGGGACTATGTGGATTTCAAGTATCTCGCCACGCTCACACCACAGCTCACAGAATTTACGCTTTACGAGCGCTGGGATTTGGATAACCCGTCCTACGGCCCTCGTGGTGGCGACAACAACAGATACTCGTTCGACTTGTCATCGGCCCGCGATATCCGGTTCTACTTGGTGCAAAGCAGCCTCACGCTCTTCCTCACCCTCTCCCGCTCACTCAAGGCCTTCTCAGCCGTGGCCAAATGGCTGGTCCTCTCCTGCAAGAGCACCGTTCCTCTCTATCTCCACCACCTCTCGCTGTACGGCCAGGAGCGTCTCGTCGTCTCCTCCCTCCGCCTCGCATCCGCACGAGTGGCCTACCTCAACGGCCCTTGCAGCGATTACCATAGCCGCGACGACGACTATTACAGCTACTGGGACTCCCCTGAACTGTCCCCTGACCGCCGCAACTCACCTAGATTCTCCTGGATTGCATGGCTGGCTGCTATAGCACCAACGGTGGAGGTGCTTATACTGAGGCACGGGGTTCCTATAGAGAAGGTGGGCGCAGAGTGGAGCTGCCTCGCAGCCTTGGGATTGTCGTGGAGAATGAGGAGCGGTTTGAAATGAATCTGGAGGTGGAGAGGTGGCGGGATGATGGTGAGAAGGAGGTTACAGTGGAGGAGTTTCAAGAGCGGAATCAAAGGCAGAGGATTTTGCAGCAGCAGCAGCGGCAGCAGCAGCCGTGGCGGCAGCAGGAGGAGCAGGAAGAGGAGGAGGAGGAGGAGGAAGAGCAAGTAGGAAAACCCCCTCTTATAAGGGCTCCAAACTTGCAAGCGATATTCTTCCCCACCCGCACATGCGAGCAGCAAACCCTTGCTTTCCTTCGTGAATCCTATCCCTCCCTCGCCCTGTACTGCATCGCATGTCGTTCCTTCTACTGGGAGAAGCACGGGAAGGAGTTGGCTGAGACCCCTTTTGAGGCGAATCAAGAGAAGCAGGGGAAAGAAATGGCTGAGACCCCTGTGGTGCATGTGAGGAAGGGGAGGAGCGGGGTGTCGAGCAATAGTTGGGGGGGGGAGGCAGCCGAAGAATGTGAGGGAGAAGATGCACGGTGTGAATAGGGAGCTGGTTGAAGGGTACAGTGTTGATACAGATGAGGCTTATATGCTCAAGTACAAAGGCAGCCTCTGGGGGACTTACTGTCGTTACAGCCTCTAGCATTCATTTATTGGTGTGTACAAGGTCTGGGTCGACTCAACTCTCACTGATACAGATGAGGCTTATATGCTGAAGTACAAAAGGAGCCTGTGGAGGACATACTCCTATAATAGCCTCTAGCATGCAGTTGTGTAGACATGCCAATGGTGGAAGATGCACAGAAGCAACCAAAAAACGTGAGGGAGAGAATGCACAGTGTGGTATTGATTAATGTACGACATACGATGCAGTTGCCGTCATGTACCATATGTTCTATAAAATATTATAGCCAAACCATTTTACACGTACATAGACATCAACAATCTGGGCTTGTTTAGCAAAATATTTCCTCCAGAACTCCTTTTCCTCCTCTCTAACACCTCGCCTCACTATCTGCTCTCCTTTCCTGTACTGACTTCAACCATTAGCATGCGCCCTGCCAACCAGCAGCAAACAGGGGAGGCAGCTGCGGCGGGAACAACAATGCCTGGACACTGCAAATGTCCACCATTACTACCACCCTACCCTACTGCTAACACCCATCGCTCTGCCCATCACCAATTGCACCCATCTATTCCACCACGCCCCCACGACCACACACACCACTCTTCACGCAAGTGTTGCCACCACTGCAAACATCACAGAACACAACACCCTTTCTGCTCTTCCGTGCACACACCCGCCACTTGCACCCCTCACACCTACGGTACATACCCTTCTCACACCTACCGGTACTACCCCGGCTGGTCTTGCCCTTCTCCTATCAAAACACGAAGCGATTCAAAGATTCTGAAGGACTTGCATGATCTTATCATCCTGCTCCATGAATTCCTGCTTTACGGTGTGTAGGGCACGTCCTGGAAACACCCACACTGCAGGCTCATTGGAAGCATCATGATCTGGCCTGTCCTGCTCTACATGCTATTTTCTCCGGTTCTCTCCCTCCCTTTCGCACCGGAACGACCGCCCAACAATGCAGTAGAGCGCCAAAGAAGGGAACTGCATGCGCAGAGAAACCAGAGTGCTGGACTGCCAGTGTCGCGTGGCGAAGAAAATTGACTGTAGATTAAGAGCATTGATGAAAGGGGGGCGAATGCCTTGGTGCTCACTGGTGCTGCTGGTGCTTCTCTCTCCTTCTCCACCAATGCCCATCCTCTGGAGAAACAAACGTTCAGCATCCTCCACTGTAACCATGTCATCATTCCAACCACCACCGACTCTCCTGCCTCTCATGCAAATCCCGAGGGAGCACAGGCAGGTCCATTCTGCAGACACCTCCTCTAGCGGCAAGCCATGCGTCACTATAACCTTCTCTACAGTTGGCGCTATGGAGCTGAGAATCAGCGTCAAGGAAAGCATATCCCCCATATGCTGGTGCTTTCCTTGGGTGTTTGGTCCGTCTAAGAAGACTGTTTTTGCAGAAGCTAACTGGAGTGAATATACTTCAAGCTGCAAGTGGCCAATTAGAATCAAGGAGTCAAGATGAAGAGGGCTGGCGCACGTGCAGTTGACCTTCAGCTCGTCGGCTATGACAGAGGGTTCCTTCAAATTGGGAGGGAGAGAGAAGTCAACGGCAAGCAATTGCCGTGCAGTACTGACTCTGATAACCCGTGCAACAGAGAAGTCGAGTTTGAGGCTAGGAATGAGACGTCCAGGGTAAGAGAGGGTGAATTGATGCAGCTGCGGTGTGATGGAAGACAGAAAGTTATAGTCATAGCTGCAGCTTCTCAAATGCTCAATGGTCGGACTCCGTAGTGCCTTCAACGATGTTGCTTTTACGTTGTTTAGTTGCCAAAGCCCACGGCCTAGCTTCAGCTACTGTAGCTGACTAAACTTCTCGAGAAAGGCCACATTGAGGTGCTCGAAATGGATGGATTTTAAACTGGTTATACTATCCTTGACCTTAAGACACAGGCTGGTAAGGGAGTGCAAAGAGGATGCCTTCAGCCGGTGGAGGCGCTCCAGATCCATGGAGCTGCTGAAAGTGAGGCTGAGGGAAGCGTGACCTCTTTGTTTAAGGAGCCAAAAGATTTCTCGGTTCCAACGAAGCTCCTGGTCATTGAAATTCAGGAATATGGGCTTCACCTCCTGCATCCACAAAAGAGAGGAAAAGCCAGAGCCCGATTTCCCATCATGCCATGAGAAACATTGCACCAGAGATTGTTATTGTTGAATGCGAAGCAAGCAAAGCACTCACGGAGAAGGAAATGATATGGCGGAGCAACTTCTTGCTGGCCATGGCACGGCTTAGCAGGCGCCAGGAGGAGCCAAAGCGCCTGGCGTTTTGCTCATACAGCTCCCTGTCAGAAAGTGGATTCATAGTGGGACGGTACTCGTCGTCCTCTTCAATCTTGAATGAGAATGGCGAATCAGGCTGCTGCTGCTGCAGAGCGACGAAGTCACACAAGCCGCTCACTGCTCCCCTCAATGATAACTCCTCACAAGAGGCGTCCAGCTTTTGCTTATGAGTGGGATCAGCCGGTGGCAGCAGCAGGAGGCGGAAGATGATGTGCCAGATGAGGCCGGGCAGCAGATCAACCACGTCCACGCTCTGATGGGTGTTGTGAGAGAAGCAGTGGATATGAGAGAGGAAGGGACAGCGGGAGTGGAATAGGACCAGGCGAGTTAGCGCGAGGAAACGGAGAAGTCAGATGACACTGTCTGCGGCATCACGCTCACCTGGTGAGAATTCTCAGTAGCCGCGGGCTGTGTGAGTTCGAGAGCAACCATTCTCTCTTTCACACCTGCATCCCCATGACTAGAGGCCATTTATGCAGTGACGCCTACGGGATGGGATTAGACAAGGCTAAAGCGACTCGTCGGAGATTGAGGAATGAAGAAAAAGAGGAACATAAAGAGGAAAAGATTTAGTCCGCAGCAGGCTATTACGCAATTGGCAAGCAAGCAGAGGCAGGTGGTGCGTTACTGTACTAGGTTCCATGCATAATTCCCTTGCGAGTACATATGCATTATTTTCCAGCAAATATAAGGATTGGCTAGCTATTCACTACAGGAGAGGGGATGAACAAAGCCCACATAGTACACTTGACTATCAATCCAAGAAAGTTTGCGCAGATCCTAAATTCTGCTGCCTTTGAGGTTTCTTTTCTATCCACCCGTACTCTCTATTCTATGATCTGTTGTACCAAGGTGGTAACACCACACCGGCCACATCATGTGGCACCACATGCACTCGCCTAGCAGCAGCAAGAGGAGCTCTGTCACCACCATCAACACTCGTCGCAGCCATACCGCACTGTCAGCACCCCGTACCCATCCCATCACCACCAATTCCACCACCACATCAACCCCATTGACACCAGCATTATCATCACTACAATCCATACACAGTGCCCTTCCTGCTCGACCCTGGAGACACCTCACCCCACACAGCTCCCTCACTCGATTTCACCCCCTCACTACCTTGCCTCACCTTCTCCCACCTCCTCTCAGAGTAAAAGCAGCTCAAAAATCTTGAAGGAACCTCATGGTCCAATCATCCTGCACCTCGGTAGAGGGTAATGCCAACACCAAGGGCTCCTTGCTCTGCTGTTCCCCCTTCCCCTCCCAGAGAAACAATTGACCCACAATGTGGTACCATGTGAGGGAAGGGAAGTGTCTGCGCAGCGACGCCAGCGTCTCCGGCTGAAACTGTCGCGTCGGAAAGTAAAAAAACTTCAAGGCTGGAGCATTGATGAAAGGAGGCCTGATCACTTCTCGCCTACTGCCCCTGTTCGGCAAATCGTAAGGACCTTCTTCATCCTCTACTGCCTGCTGCCTTCTTCATTCTCTTCAGCGCTGTTGCCCCTCACACCAATCCCAAGGCAGTGCAGGCGGCTCCACTCTGCATCCACGTCCTCAAGAGGCCAGTCATGCCTCACCAGCAACGTCTCCACTGTAGGCGCTATGCTGCTGAGCAGCTTCGTCAAGGCAAGCCGAGAGTCGGAACCTGAAAGCGGAACTGACGGCGGGTCGGCCTCTTCGTTGGCCCCTTCGTTGGTGGCGGGTCCGTTCAAAATTGCAAGATCAGCGGACGCCAATGGGAGCGAAGATATGGAGAGCTGGTGGCGGCCAACTAGTTTCAGAGAGTCGAGAGAGAGGGCGCTGTCGCATTTGCAGTTGACGTGAAGAGACGCCGCTGTGAGAGAAAGGGTCTTTAAAGAGGCCGGAAGGGAGAAACGGGCTTTGAGATTTCGGTTCCTAAAACTGACTGTAATGACTCGAGCAACAGTGAACTCGAAATCAAGGATGTTAGAGCCATGACTGGTGAGGGTAAGTGAGAATTCGTGTAGCTGCGGTGAGATGGAAGACAGGACAAAATAGTCGTCTCCGTAGCTAGACACGTACTCGATGCTCAGACTCATTAATGCCTTGAACCATGCAGCATTCAAGCTCCACCGTCCACAGCCTAGCTTCAGCCGCTGCAACTGGCCAAATTTCTCAAGAAAGGCTGGATAGATCTGCCCAGTCCTGAAGTGGTTAATTTCCCCTGGGTTGGCAGATTCCTTAATTTCCAGGCTCACTCTTGTGAGGGAGTGAGCAGAAGATGCTATAAGATCACCGATCGTCTGCAGATCCTTTAGGCTCCTGAAATCGAGGTCAAAGGACTTGTGACCTGACTGTTGAAGGAACCAGAAAAGCGTTTTGTTCCACTCGGGATCTTGCGTGGTCTGTACGAGGGAGATATGCTCCAGCTCCTGCACACACAGAGAGCGGAACTTTTCCATACTGTGATCTTTGACAAATGGGTAGAGGACATCGGTAGAGTCAGTACGGTTCATCAGAGCTTGTGTTCTGAGAAATTTGGAAAAAAAAACAACTCCTACTGATATTGCATGCTGTGAAGAGGAGGGTGCATGACAGAATGAAGAAACGTCAGAGCACTCTTAGAGAAGGAGGTGAGATGGCGGAGGAGAAGTAGGTGGTTGGAATTGAGAAGCAGTCAGTGACTCACGGAGAAGGAGATGACATGGTGAAGAAGCCTCTTGCTGGCCATGGCACAGCGCAACAGAGGCCAGGAGGAGCCAAAGCACCTCGCGTTCTCCTCATGCTGCTCGCTGGCAGAAAGGGGTCTGGTATCATCAACACATGAGATGCTGCCTTCTCTCTGCTGCAATTCGCCCAAGGGGTTACCCTGATTATGCAGCTCAGTGGAGTCAGTCGGCGGCAGCAGCAGGTGGCGGAAGATGATGTGCCAGATGGGGCCGGGCAGAAAATCAACCACGTCTAGACTCTGATGGGTGGGTGGGGAAAAATACTTTTTTTTTAGAGAAGAGAGGAGGAATCGAGGGGGAAGCCGAAGTGGGATGCGGAACCAGAGGATCAGATGCAATGTCTGCTCTGCGGCATCATTCTCACCTCACGATTATGTGCAACCACGTCTAGAATCTGGTGGATGGGCATCGCGGAAAAAGCAAGGGCCAGAAGTGACGAAAATGTGACATTTCCGTCACATTTTCGTATACGGTTTTTGGGGGTAAAAAGGTGATGGTTGGAAGTGCCAAGACAACCGTCACATCCAATGTGACGGTGATGTCACGGAAATGTCACGGAAAAGCTTCCCCCGCGTCACAACCACCGTCACGGGTCGGTCACATGCAAGTCACGCACAAGTCACAACGGGGTTTCCTCCGTCGGGTGAATAACAAATGCCACGATTAGACACGATCTTATAGGAACCATACACGTGGCGACCATGACGTCATCATGCCATACCCTAAGTTACGTTACTCGTACAGTACAATGCGACTCGAGCCACAGTCCTGTCCAACCAACAGCCTTCACGTGGACGACCCCTAATAACCTGGGATCGCATCCACACCCTTCGATGTCCGCCACTGTAACCAATGCCCACGCGCCATCTTACGATAAGACCTGCCACCCATTGGTCGACAATACATACAGCAAGTCGCCATCCCACCACGTGCATATGGCGGATGCCGTTGAATTATGGCAACGTGTACGGCTGGAACTAGTCTCTTGATTACTACACCTATACTCTACCAGTGCATCCGACCGTCCACGTACACACGCATCGACGATACATCGCATCCGCCACTGCCAGACGGATCTCACCAATGCCAACGTGTAATTATTCCCGTCCGTTGATATTGACACACGTGTCCGTTGTATTCATAAAATGAAGCCGGGTGTGCTGGCCCACCTGTCATGCCCTCGACCGTCCACCACACCATTATCTAACGGTTGACCGGGCTGCCGCTGCACTTGCATCTACGGCTCCAGTAGGCCTAGGGCTCGCCACGCACAGCCCCACGATAAGCTGGGTTGGACCGTCTCGAACCGAATCGCGGTCCATATCTAACCGCATCGAACGGCACACATCCGAACCGCATTCCGCGTTTGTAACCCATCGCCAATGGCCGTGATTGTCTGCCTCGTTACACTTTCTGCAAAATGGGTGACGGGTTATGTTTCCCCGTTGCTCACGACTTCCCGTGATAAATCGTTCATATCTTCTTGTTCCTTCAATGCAGACACGCAATTGACCACAATCACTAGAACACGCGGCTGATGCCATACCAAATCCCAAGCGTGATAGCCTCCTCACACGGCCTGCCACGGTTCCCATCCAACGCCGCCCCACACGCATTAGGCAAATGGTTTAGCTACGATTCTAGGCACCAGCTAACGATGCCTCGCATCGCCTCCCGAAATTCGACCGATTATGCCTGCGGAGTCCTGCGGCTGACGCTCGCCTCCGCGCTCACTGCGTCGGCTGCCGCGATGCCGTCGGCCGAGATGCGCAGACCATGGCGGCCCCACGCCCAGCTCTGGGACGCCTCGTCATAGTCGGGCCGGAAATCCGCAATGGCCCCCCTAACCGCAGCCTTGACGAGGACGTGGAGGCCGTCCACGATCTGCGCGTTGGAGCTTGCGGAGTTGGCGAAGCGACCCTGGCGCGCCTCCCAGTGCATGACTGCATCTGACACCTGCGCACGGCAAACCACATACCCGCGCGCGTGAGGACACTCTCCCTGGTACTTTAAGTGATGTAAAGTTGCAAGGCGTATGCGTACCACGTGCTCCAGCCATGCCACGTGGTAGAGCTTCAGTGTCATGGTCCCGTTCACCATCCTTGGCTTGAACGCCGCCCGTGCGCATGCTGTAAATGCCCCAGACGCGAACGGCATCCCGTCACTGTCGCAACTCCACCGAGAGAGAGCCAGCTTACCTGCAACAACGCGCACACACAAAGTGCACATTTAATAACGGTTACCTCTGCATGTGCAATGCACTCTCGTCCTTACCCGCAGGCACGTCTCCAAGGCCGACCCTATCTCGGATTCGGGACAGGGTGCGCCTCGCCCGTATCGCCCAGGGACTCTTCATGTCTCGGTCGTGTCGAAACAGTCCAATCTTAGGCAGCGAGCTGTCGCGAACTCTTCCTGCCGCACCAGTCTTCCAGTCGCTGAACGACCTGTTCAGGTCGATCCGACGTGCCTTGCACGCAGCGAGAGCAACGCTTGCGTAGCTCTTAGTCAGGTTATCCACGACCGCGCAGATGGCCCATGTCTTGGCTGTGCTGCTGGGGTAGAACGTCAGCTGCGAGTTGGAGCGCCTAATGAACAGCTCGGTGCGGGCCTGCTCACAAACCTCCTGCAATGTAAGACCACGCATTACGTCATCAGTCACCACGCATGTTCCACTCTGTGTACGGCACAATCCATCCAATATGCGACCCGACAACACTCGAGTCTTACCTTCCAGGGTTTGTCGGCCGGGAGGAGGTCGAGCGCCTCCTGCATAATGGCAGATGTGGAGTGTCGAAGGTGGCCCTCGTCCTCGTCGTCGAAGTCCCCCTCCTCATCGGACGCCGTATCGGACGTGGAGCGTGCCCTCCGCGCCTTCCGGCGCTCTCCCTTGCCGGAGCCACGCTTTCGCCTCCTCCTCTTCTTATTGTTGCCGTCTTCCTTTGGTTTCGCAAGGAACGCCGTCTCCAGCCTTGCAATCGCACGTGCCGTGGCTTCATGGAGCTCCCTCATGCTATGCAGCTCCTCGCGCGTGACTGGTGCGTCATTAGGAGCACCTCCCGCGCAGGCGTCGTCCCCTTCTGCGTCGGCCTCAGCATTGTTGTCCGCTTCCGCACCATCTTCGTCTTGAGTGCGGCGTGGGTTACGACTTGGGAGAACCTCGTTTGGATCGTCGTCCGATGATGGCGCCGGGGGTGCGTCAGGTTCCCCCTCCACTTGTGCAGAGCCCTCGATGACGTCTTGAATGGGACGCTTGCGCCTGCGACCCGCCTTCCCGCTGGATGCAGCGGCCTCGTCAACCTGCCGGCTGGACTGGGCAGAGGAGGAACTACCCTCTGAAGTGCTCCCATGCGACATACGCGAGTCCGCGCGAGTCCCATGAGATGGTGTCACGGCTGCATCTCAAACCACGAAACAAACAACGGATTTAAGTGACAAGCGCAAAGCACATACGAGCATACTGTGCATGAATGTCACAAGCCGGTGTAGAATGGACGAAGCATCAGACGCATTAGCAGGGCGAAACGTTGGTCACTCACGTGGCGGCGAGGGAGGACCCCTTGCTTGCTGCTCGGTGGCATGTTTCGAAACATCCAGACGAGGCTTCTTCGTCACCTTACGCCTAACATTCCCAGGCAGAAGGTAAGAGTTCCGTAGGTAGGCAGGCGGTTGTGACACGCGCTGACTCCTGCCCTCACGTGACGACACTGTGAAACTGTCCATCGTGAACACAGTTGTGGGCAAGAATGAGTCTGGCTTACATATTGGTCACTACTTACGCATTCTGCATCCAACCCAAGGGCACGTCTGTGCTGTACCCCCCCATTACACGTGGCAATCACTTGTCGGTCGTACTGCGTTCGTCATCTGGCGGCTTTTGTCCATATGGCTCAACCATGACGCAAAGTTATCCACATATCTCGTTATACAGTCGAGTCATTTGTTGTTCCACATGGCAGCACCATAACAACATCAGCTACACCTTTTGTTAGACTAGTAAGGGTCATCCGCGAGGTGCATATGTAATCAGACATTGTAGGATATTCATTATGCGCCACTACAAGACATCCACATTGCGGCATCAATGCAGTACACACTCTTTCACACCAGGGGATAGAACTACATCTAGCATCACAAGGTGTTCACACATAGTACAAAGCTTCCTGTACACGTCCAACGACCTAGGTACTGCCATCCGTGTAGCAATCAGCCTCGCCCAGTTTCCATGACGGCACAGCTCATGCCGCCATGGCACTACATATACCCATTTTTTCAGTCCATTGCGCCTACTCGTCCACCGCCTCCACATCATGGACCATCCTGCCTTCCACGTCGTCATCACCACTGCTGTTGTCCGGCGACCGAGCGCCATTGTTTTCGAGGGGGAAGGGAGTACTAGGAGCAATGCCCAGCTCTGCCATTGCTGTCCTCCACTGACGCCACCTCCACCACATCCGTGCCTTGACCAGATGACGCACGTCGTCGCGAACACACCCGATCAGGGATGCCTTCTCCGCGTCCGACAGCTCCTTCGTGTGCTGGATGTGGTCATTACGCCTGATCACAAATGCCGCCACGGCATACGCATACGCCGCATCGAGCTCCACATTATACGCACCCAGCCTGATCTGCTGACCAGTGCCTGGGCCGCACACCATCTTAACCCCCCACTTTCGGCCCCGTGGGCACCAACTCACCCCTGTCCAGCGACTGGATGCAGGCCGACCACCGTACGCGGCAGGCATGCTGGTCTGACGCACGGCCCGTGCTGCAGTCCTAGTCCCCTGACGCGTGCGATACCTGGCAGAGCGCGAGACCGTCGGCGGTGCTGCCGGTGTCACGGGAGCGGTTGGGAGCTCCTGCTCCCCCGTCACGGGCTTGACCTCTGCTGGTGTCGGCTCACTATGAATGATGGATGACCCATCGAGATGCGCAGAAGGGAACGATGGCAGCGGAAGCGGACAGGGAGCCGAGTGGATGGTCATGCCGAGCGTCCGCATAGATGCGGCGTGCTCCACGTTTGGACGTGGACAGAGCCAGCAGAGGCGTGTCGTGTGCCTGAAGCTCGTGTGCCGCTCCACTCAGCAGTTGATCCTCCGAAATGCCCAGCGAACGTGCCAGGCCCATGACAGCCGCACACACAATGTACCCCCCTAGCTCCATCCGGGTTATCATGCCTGACTGCCTCGCCAGGTCGGTGCAGACTTCATCCTCCTTGGGAAAGACGAGGGCGCCATGTTCTCCCAACTTGGGAAGAGGCTGCACGGGGACATCCACACCCTCCCCAAATAGCTTGACAATAAGGTCACCTGTGGCGTGGAGGGACACCTCCTCGCGGAGCTGGCGCCGGTAGGCCCACGATTTCACGCCGTAGAACGGCATCCACTCTTTGAGGATTGAGAAGCCGGACGAAACCAGGGCGTGGAGATACATGCCCACATAAATGCCACAGTCTACCGCGTTCGACTGTTGTGGGATGTCTTCCGGCTGCCAGCAGACACGGAACATGAGAGCGCACACGTCAAGTGACTGACAAACCAGACTGTGTCCGCGACATGACTGCGACATGAAGTGCACTCACATGCATGATGTGGACGTCGGCATACTTCAAGTGGTCCTCTGCCTGCTTCCGGTCGGCCGTGGGCAGCTGAGCTTTGTGCAGCATGAGCAACATCCTGCAAGGGAAGTAGGTTACCGGTGGTCGTTATGTTGGCATCAACAACATTTATCAAGATTGGGCATGGCACAAGTACAAGATGCACCACTCACTTCTTGACGCCCTCCATCACTTCCGGCATCTTGGTGTGCAGCTGTGCACTATCGTAATGCACCAGCTCCACGCTGCCCTCTACAGTCTCGGATAGCTTCCCGCTGACCATGGTGCGGAGGTTCGTAGCTATGACCAGCGAGTAGTGGCCCCTGGCACATGTAAGCACGTTGTATGTTAGGGAACGCGTGTCGACACCAACTGCTCTGGTACCCGGCAACTATCAACAGCATGAGCATCAAGGGGTAGACGCCTTACTCGTAATACACTGGGATGGCGACGTAGTCCTGTGCGAAAATACACGGTGCATGGCCAAGGGGCCAAGCCTTGTTCAGGGATGTCGCGAACGTAAACGCCTTTGTGTCCAGAGCGAACCAGGTTTTGCCTCCTTCCAGCTTAGGATACCTTATGTTCAATAGTCTGGAACACAGCACATATGCACGATATGGCTCGTCAGGCAAGATACGAAAAAAAGAGCATACAGCATGTATAGTACACACCGATTCGTGGGCCTTACATGTTATGGAAGTCCACTACTGTGTCGGCCAGACACTGTCCGTCAGCGAGCGTCAGAACGTCCTGTGCTGGCAGCTGACACCCCACTCCATGGGGACCGTAGAGCGCCAACGTCTGGAAATCACGCTGATAGTTGGGGCGGGCAAGACGGGCAACGACATCATCACTGGGAGGCGGCGCCCCTCACACCGCTGCCCGCCGATGTCACTGTACGAGGGCGAGGCAACTCCTGCTTCACCTTGCGCTTTCGGCGCTCCTGCTCCGTTGACAGTGTGGTCAGGGCACTGGCCGCGCATGACACGTTGTCTCGCTGCACCAGCATACGCTGTATGTTCATCGTGTGCACTTAGAAGACTCAGACGCGTACTGTGTAGGTAGACGGGAGAGATAGACAGGGAGTCGAGCGTCCAAAACCTAGTCTGCTGTAATGGCAGCTCATCGGACGACTATATGAGGCAGCGGACATTGTAGCTTTGCAGAGTCTGTTGTTGTTCGGAAACCCTTAGCATAGACAAGGAACACCGAGCTTACCATAGCGCGCCAGATCCAGCTGTCCCTAAATTGGCGCCGAACGGTGGATATGCATGACGGGCACACGTGTCATGTTTTCGAATCATGCATAGGGCCCTCGGTGGGGACCTGGGATTTACTATGCATGTGGCTGCGAGGTTGCAAGAGTGGGTGTGTGATGGTCCATACTCGCTAATGTTCGTTCATCATCAAACACTCAACATCTTTGTTGTTGCGAATAAAACTTTCAACATCTTGTCCAGCGCACAATAAGCATGAACTACCACCACGTGGCTGTGGTCCGGTTCGCACATCCAAGGTGGCATTCAAACCCTATCTACACGCTCTCGTTAAACACAGTCTCGCAACAACAGGTAAGACATTACATCCAATTTCATAGTTGCACAATGCATATGACATACCATAGCACGCCACACTCTTACGGTCGTCGAAGAAGGCCATAAACACCCCTACATACCAAACTCCCGAACCCCCCGCACCATTACCGCGCCGAAGCTGGCCTCATTCCATGGTCGCGGTACATCAAATTACGGTTACATTCGACGGACGGGGACGCTTGGTTGGCGTCCGACGCAGACGACTGACGACCAGAGCGTTCGACGCGCCAAACCGCTCTGGTGCGTCCCGCACATTAATGCCGAGCTTTAGGGCCTGACGGACAAGGTATTCGGTGACGACGCGCGCCACCCGCCTGCGACAACGATGGTCATTCAGTAGCGGTCCTGGCTACGTGTGCAGGGTTATCTCGCGGCCGTCCTCGGCGCCTGGGGTGTCGTTCATGGTGCGCTGCACGCGTGGCGGGAGAAGGGTCAGCTCGCAGTGCGCATAATCCGTGGCATGCATGAGAGTGTGGCCAGGCCGTGCGAACTCGTCTATGATGTACTGCAGCTGTCCCAGTTCCTGAACAAGAGGTTCGGACAGGACACAAAGAACGGGGTTTACGAACTCTCGCACGAAGGAGCGCCACGATGCCGGCACACAGCCGGCGCGCCACCAGCTGAGATGGACCGAAACCGGAGTCAAGTCCCTCCACGTTGAACCCATCCAGTTCACCATGATGGACAGGGGAGGGGCGTATCGGAACAATGCGCCGTCGCGCCACTCTGGTGTCATCATCAAATGGCGAAGGTATGAGGAACGGTACAGTGTCTTCCACAGCTCTACCAGACCGCACATGCCGGGATGGATGCACCTTGGCGCATCAGGACCCTGCATGTGAATGATTCGGAGGTTGCTCAGATTCTGCACGCGGAAACCGTGCTCCGTCATTTCCATCACGGATGGATCCGTTGACGAGTGGGCGTCCTGCGTCACGAGGACGATGACATGGTCGTCTGTAGAGTACGACCGCCCGTTCAACGCTTCAAGGTACTCGCTGAATATCTGACAAGCATAACACGCGAGGATGGAGCAGGCATGTTAGCAACTGGGATTGCACGAGGATAACGTCAAGGCATTCCGCAGACTGGACGGGGTATGAGGAGAAGATCTCCCACCTCGGGCGTGACGAACCCGTCCACGCTGTGTCGCACGAACACGGTAAAATCGGGGGGTGTTTCAAGGCCTTGAGCAAGCGCGTCGTCCGCGCGGAATATGAGAAGAGGCGGACACATGATTGTTCCCGTTGCATTGAACAGGAAGCAGACATTGATGCGCCAGTCGGCCAGCGGATCATCGTGTCCATTTTCAGACTGAAGGAAGGGGAGCCTGGTGGGCAAGAGAGGCTCCTCCACGAAGCAGTACACGTCGTCTGGATTAGCCTTTATCTCAGCGAGTAGCATGGCCATTTCAGCCATGGTTGAGAGCTAGAGTGCACCACCGTCACCAGTGCCGAGAATATAAGCTCAACTAGCTTACTCTAGGAGGATGCTGGAATGACAGAGAGCGTCATTGTACACGCGGACATTATCCGCCACGTAATCACATCCCGCAGCACTCTTGTCCACATACGTTAGAGGTGTGGACACATGTAGTGACGTTATTCGGACCCAATGCGCCACCAAACATCCGCACATCGACGAGAGCGGGTAAGATAAGTGGTCAGGATGGCGCCAATGTACAGTGAATTGTTGGGGTTTCGTTCGGGTGCGCTCATGTTGGAGAGGTTGTTGCTGTTCGGTTTGACTGGCCTAATCAACCGTCCTAAACCGATGCTATCTCCTGCTTTACGTGTTTCATGCAATGTTACTAAAAACGGGTACACATTTGCCGTTCCCCACCATTAACAAGGTCGCAATCACCGCTTCGGGAGGTGGTACCAAGACAGAGGGGGTTGCTGGTACATTTGTGTGTGTGTGTACGAGTGGCACAGTTTATCGGTAATTTGCAATTAGGGTTCACGCCACCTCTTGCGATGCTGGGTAACGCATGCGAGGCATGCGGCTTGGAGCACGTCGACGACAACACGCTCCAGTCGCATGTGTCTAAGAATGTCAAGTGCAGGAGGAAGATACAGCACTCTCGTGCCCAGCGGCTAGTGGAGGCGTATCGGGACGCGCTGCGCGCCAGGCGCGGAGCAAGGCCCCGTTCACCCGTGCGTTCTCGACGCAGCTATGAAGGCGACTCTACTGAGAGGGCCGCAGTGGAACCGGGTGCAGTTGCCGATCAACCCGACCCTCCCGAAGGCCTAGAGGAGGATAGCGACGGGGGTGAGAGTGTCATGTCAGTGATTGACGACGGCTTCAACACTCTGGTCGAGCTGTACATCTTCTTCCGCGAGGCGGATCTGTCGAGAAGGGAGGTGAACAGGTTGCTTAACATATTTCAGAACCCTAATTTCTCTTTGAGGGACGTGAGGCGGTGGCTCAATTTTGTGGACGTGAGACGCTATGGGCGCGACAGGGCGCCAAGTGATCATGTCCCATGGAAGACGAGGGACATCAAGTGCTACGGCCCGAGAGGAAGGATATGTACGCTGCTGCTGCACTACCGTGATACTGAGCTGGTGAGTGCATGTGTACATGCCTGGAAAAGGGGCCACTAAATGTTCGTTTCGTGGAAGAGGGTAATGGACAGACCATTAACCCATCGTGTACATGCGTGTGGCAGCTGGTGAGGAAATTGCTACGCGCATTCCAGCACATTGCGGGATTTGTGACCAAGCCTCGGGCGGACGAGGATGACACCGATACGGTGCGGCATTATAGCACTCGCGACACGGGAAAGTGGCTGGAAGAAGCGCAGGTATGAACTCGTGTTCAGCTGGGTGGAATGCGCTTAACCGATCAAGCGTTGCATCACTGACGGTTGGGTCCACTATGTGCGCAGGCTGTGATTGGGGAGGAGGACTGCATTGTGCTGGGTGTGATTGTGTACAGCGACAGCACGCACGCCTCGAGAAATGGCAGACTGGTGGCATGGCCGGTCCTAATCAGTTTGTTCAACATCCCGGAAGCGCTCCGCTGGCAGGAGCCGGGCCACGTACTGGCTGGGGTTCTGCCGTTCCCGCCAGAGTGGGCGTCGTCGACCGAGAAGACACGCATTTTCCAGCAGTGCATGGAGGTGATATTCGAGCCCCTACTTCGGGCGCACAGAGGGTGAGTGGGTGTGAGAGAGGTGCTTACGCACC